CTGCTACGAAACGCGCATAGCGCATTTTGTCTTCCGGAGGCCTTTCCATAGTATGTTGCAGAAAAGTAGGCACGCAATGCAAGTACTGCTAAATGCTGCAAATAGCAGCATGTTGAGGACTTTTTTAGCATGCAGCACACGTCCAAACCTCAGTACGGAGTTGAAGCACCGAAAACGCACCGTCGCAACTGAACCCGCCAGCTAAACCCTATAAACCGAGGGTTTGGGGTGGCCCGGGGAGGGAGCCCTAGCCACTGTCAGCGTGCGCGTGCTCTTAACATGGGCGTACGCGGAACAGGCAAGAAAAGGATTTCCGGCTCAGGGTTGACAGTATGGATCCGGAAAGACCACGAACTCAAAGGCTCCATGTACCTTTATAGAAGGTACTTAGGCCTTAAAGGGGTCTCTATATAGGTACGTTAAAGGCTTAAGTATCTACTATATGGGCACATGGAGCCTTAGGGGAAATTTCGTGCAATGCAGCTACAAAAACAACGCAGATGTATGAAGATGTACGATGTTCTGCAGCTGCCCCTGACTATTGAGAAGCCCTGAAGTAGATCGGCGTGCAGCATTGCCTTTCGGACGTGCCGGTTGACATATTCGAAGCCGACAGTGTCCTGGAAATCCCGGCGCCGAAGCTCTTTTCCCCAACCCTAAACCCAAAACCCTGAACCCTAAACCCAAAACCCTAAACCCTAAACCCTACACCCTAAACCCTAAACCCTAAACCCTAAACCCTAAACCCTAAACTAAACCCAAAAGTGGTTTTGGCGCCGAGGTTTCGGAGGAAGTCGGGAGTTCCGGTCTGGGGTTCAGGGTTCAGGCTTCAGTGGTTTAGGGTGTCTTTGAGGAAGTCTGTTTAGGGTTTAGGGTTTAGGGGTTTAGGGGTTTAGGGTTTAGGGTTTATACGGTTTATAGGGTTTATAGGGTTTATAGGGTTTAGGGTTTAGGGTTTATGGGTTTAGGGTTTTAGGGTTTAGGGTTTATTTGCTTCGTTGGGGGTGTACAGATCTGAGAAGGGTCCGAAGTACCTATATAGTAGAATGTAGGGTTTATATATATATATATATATCCTTATTCTTGATTTGGGAAAGTATCCCATGTAACAGTACCTAGGACCCTTTGGGGAAGGCTATTAGGGGCCTCGTTCTGTTCAGTAATTGTGGAGTTGGGGGGGGGGGGGGTACTGCTTTTTGCTATGGGATCCAGTTGATCAAGACGGCCATATTGAAAACTCTTGACCGCCCTCTATGGTAAACCCTATAATTAGAACCCATACACCTATCTGGGCTTGCAAACTTAAACTTACAGATCCCCTTCAGGGGCCCATGTAGACAAAGACTGTAATATACCCCAAACCCTCTTCCAAGTATTCCGTCCCCGCTGCCAAACCCTTATAGCAACCCAGAGAAAAACGACAAGACCGTGTCGAGACCCTGTAAGATCTCAGAAACCCCTGTTCTACTTATCAACACCACTCTATCTATCGGTCGACCTACCTATCTATCTACATGAAACCCTGAATTCTGGACTCAGGGATGATTTTTGGTAATATTTAGTGGTTATAGTACACCCAAACGGCTAAAGCTACTCTACTACTAAGGTAGAAAAGCAACCCCATCAACCCCTAAACCCCGAACCCTCACCCTCAAGCCTAAACCCTCAACCCTAAACCCTAAACCCTAACCCTCAACCCTAAACCCAAAGCCCTGAACCCTAAACCCTCAACTCTAAACCCTAAACCCAAAGCCTTAAACCCTAGACCCGAAACCTTAAACCCCATAGCCCTAAGCCCCAAACCCTAGACCCTATATAAACCTTAAACCCTAAACCCTAGTCTCCTGAATCGTTGCTTTCACCTTCGCCTCGTCGCGCGAATCCCAGGCTTCCGCCATGGCAGAATTCACATTGCAAACGGAGTCCGTGACTTCCTTTCGTCGTGGCTGAGGCTTTAGGGCTTAGGGTTTTAGGGTTTAGGGCTGAGGGTTTGGGGTTTTAGGGTTTGTGGGTTAGGGTTTAGGGTTTTTGGGTTTAGGGCACAGGGCTTAGGGTTTTTGGGTCTTTCGCGCTGAGGGTGTGGGGTTTTAGGGTTTGAGGTCTATGGTTTAAGGCTTAGCAGGGGAATACCGCATACGCGAAAATATCTTGCGACAGTGCAATCTCGAGTGAATCGTAGTATGGCCATGGGGCTCTGTAGCTCGATTGCGGACCCTAAACCCTAAACCCGAAGGCTTGTCTTATTTTTTCTCCACCCCACGCTGTCTGACCCGGCCAAACCACCCAAGCTTACTCCTTTTAGAGCTTAGCTCTAAACTTACCCCATGGCCCACCCACGTAGGTGGGCGGCCTAAGGCTTGAGTTTAAAGTTTGGGGTTTAGGGTTGAGCTTTGGGGATTAATTCCGATTCAAAGTTCAGAGTAGGGTGAGTCCCCACAACCCGAACCAAGAAGCTTACAGTTAGGGCTTAGGGTTCAGGGTGTAGGGTTTAGGGTTGAGGGTGTAGGGTTTAGGGTTTAGGGTTAAGGGTGTGGGGTTTAGGGTTTAGGGCCCGTACTGTAAGATCCTCAGAAACATCTGGTAACACGGGCAAACTCATTATGAGACCCTCAGAGAGGCCTCATGAACACCTTCTTTGATCACCTTGAAGGACCCTATCATCACGCTGGTCAAACACGCTTATACAAGTCATGAAAACTCTTGCAGCGAGCGTACGAAACCTTTACTAAACCCCAGCAAGCCCCGTGCTAAAGCAACAACGATTAAATTGAACCTTGTAGGACATATAGAACCTTCACAGAACCGTCCAAAAAACAAGAAAAGCATGAACAACTTGGATGAATCCAATATAAAACCCTTACAACACTCCCTAAATCCTAAACTTACCCTGAACCCCAAAGCCCTAAATCCTTCCCCCCTACAATCTAAAAGCCTAAACCCTAAGATACCCCGTCCTTGAGACCGACTTCTCCCTGCAGAATCTTCAGCTGCAAGGAGGCCATCGAGGCCTTCAACATCGGTTTCACGCGGGTTTTGTTGGTGTTTCGAAAAAAGCATGGGGTTTGTGTGAAGATGTTTATAAGGTCCTATGTAGATGGTTCTACAATGGATATGAGTTTCAAAAATGGTTTGTTATAGGGCTTTCATAGGGACCCGAATGCTTAGAATGACTGGGGTTTGGGACTAGTGTTGATTTAGGTCCCTAGCTTCGGGTTGCATGACTGTGCTTTTGGTTTTAACTTCGCTTAGGTAATGATCTTGTTGTGCTTGGAGGTTGCAGGGTGTTGGGTTCTATGGCTGTGGGATCGTCGAGTAAACCTACCAAAGAGACCCAATACCTCTGTTGTTAATGGGTCTATACTGGGATATTAGATCTTGGGATTGGGACTGAATTATCAGGACTATAGCTGAAAACGCCACCAAATCGGTTCATATTGAAGCCTAAATAGCTGGACTCGATCCTTGTGGCGGCTTGGTTTAGGGCTAGGGTTACCGGGTGCCTTCGTAGCATAGATACACTAGAGGGCACCCTGAAGGACTGCCTTACAAGTTTTGACGATTCAGGGTTTGGGGTTTAGGACCCTAAACCCTTGGGGTTTAGGGAGCACGGAAAGCCGATCGAGCCTGAGGCATCACAAAAGTCACGGGCACTTGCAGCGTGCAAGCGACGAACTGCTCGTAGACGGTCCAGATCCTCTGTGGCCATGGATTAGGTTGGTTGGTTGGTTTAGG